TTCTGTGAGTTCATGCATGTGCATATATATATATATATATATATATATATATATGAAAATGGAAGTTTATGGTGTTATGAAGTTATAAATTTTTACGGATCTCAATTTGAGCTTTTGGTTTGCCCAGAATGAATTTTTGAAGTTTTCCGCGTGTTTTAGACTTACGCAAACAGTAGTTTCGGGACTGATTTTTCTTCGATTTTCGGCTAGTTATTGATTCTACCAAATGAGGGTTTTGTAGTATGTCGAAAGAGCTTTCTTTGGACTCTAAGTTTGCTTGAATCGGAGTTCGTGAGAGGAAGTTACGGCTTGAGCAAATTTGTCACGCAAGCTAAGTGTAACGGACAGCAATTGTATCCATTATGGGCGAGCTTGATGTTGGCGCGTAGGTGTCGTTTTATCAACAAATGAGCGTAATTTTGTCGAGTCGTTCGCTAGAATATCGATTTACTCAGTTTTTGATACCGTTTTTCGATTAATTGTTAGGTATTCGAGTGCATCGGCTCGAGTAACTACTATAAGTTGGTTTTTTCGATTTTTTCAGGTGAGTGGTATTATTTCTTCTTTGAATTTGTAAGCTCATGTTTAGAAAATGATATGTTATAAATATCTTATCATATGAGAAATGGCATTTTGGTTGTATAAAACTAGATCGAGCATTTACTGTCATTTTGTGTATTTAAAATGGAAGATTATTTTTTATTTCGATTTGAATTTATTGAATGTAAATAGGTTTGTGAAACCTTTTTAGAAAGACTCATGAGAAGTTCTTCACTTTGATTGTTGTTTTTGAAGGTTTATATATCGGTTTGCGAAATGGTTTATGAAATGATTTTTAGATTTGGTTTTGTGGATTGTAAATGATATCGTTGTGGATAAGTATTTGATGCTCAGTATCTCTGTGAACCCAAGGGTTGTGGGTATGCGCATACTAGTTTAGGATATCCTTGTGGGCCGAGCCACCGGCTTATAATAGTTGGAGACCTTGTCAAGGGGGAATCTTGGTCGCCTTTTCACATGGCGTTATCGGTGATCATAGTTAGATTTCTAAGCATGAGATTGGCCAATAGAATGGACCATTGGCGTGTTGGTGTGTGTTTTTCGACAAGATTAACCAATAAAATAGACCATTTATTTCTTATTTGATATTATTGTTTGAAATGGGCAATCCTATTGTGAAAATGTTATGTTAAAGTAGTATATAACGTATTTTGACCTTAAAGTTTGTTATATGCCGAAGTTGGGTTAATTGAGCTTTCATTTGATCATATAACTATGTGCATAGTGAATGCTCAATCTACTTATAAATAATGTATTAATCACTGAGCCGTGGTAGCTCATTCCTCTCATCCTACTTGTTTTTCAATTTCTTCAGCGAACCGTAAGTAGGGCACGAGAGCTTCGGTAGCGAGGAGGACCTTTTTTTTGTTAGTATGAACTTTTTGGTGCGAGTTATATATAATTGTGGAGCTTAAGTGTTAGCTTGTTGCTGGTTATGTATTTAGCCTTTTGATGGATTGTAGATAACTTTGATATTGTAACCAGATAAACTTTTATCGGATGACCGTGTCATGCCCTTGTTCTTCTTGAATTAGGAGTGTGACAAATATCATGACAATGAAACTTTACAAACTACATATTGAGTCTTAATACGAACTGCTCGACATATTATACCACTCGAGATTCTTAAAAGCTTATGAAAATGGTCAACATCTTTGAATAGATAATGGAGGAAGAAGGGAAGTTTGAAGCCGAAGTTGTCAAGGTGCAAGCATGGTGGAACTCCGAAAGGTTCAAACTAACCCGGCGACCCTACACCACTAGAGATGTCCTGGCACTACGGGGCAACCTGAGACAAAGCCATGGTTCGAATAAGATGGCGAAGAAGCTCTGGAGAACTCTGAAGACCCACCAAGCCAACGACACGGCCTCCAGGACTTTCAGCGTGCTCAACCCCGTGCAAGTGACCATGATGGCCAAGCACTTGGACACAATCTACATCTCTGGTTGGCAGTGCTCGTCGACCCACACCTCCACCAGCGAACCGGGGCCAGACCTCGCTGACTATCCCTATGACACCGTTCCCAACAAGGTCGAACACCTTTCCTTTGCTCAACAATACCATGATCGTAAGCAGAGAGAGGCGCGGATAAGCATGAGCCGAGAGGAGAGGCCCAGGACCCTATACGTTGACTATCTCAAGCCGATCATAGCCGATGGCAACACTGGATTTGGTGGCACGACAGCGACTGTCAAGCTGTGCAAGCAAGCTTTTTGTTGAGCGCAGTGCAGCTGGAGTCCACCTTGAAGACCAAGCCTCAGTGACAAAGAAATGTGGTCACATGGCTGGTAAAGTGCTCGTTGCGGTGAGCGAACACATCAACCGGCACGTGGCTGCGAGGTTGAAGTTCGATGTTATGGGAGTAGAGACTGTCCTGGTCGCGAGAACCGATGCAGTTGCAGCGAATTTGATCTAGACCATTGTGGACACTAGAGATCACCAATTCATATTGGGTGCCACCAACCCGAGCCTCCGAGGGAAGAGTTTGGCCTCACTTTTGGCAGACGCAATGGCAGCCAGTAAAATTGGCCGCGTGCTTCAAGCCCTCAAGGATAATTGGCTAGCCATGGCACAACTCAAGACATTTTCTGAATGCGTCACAGACTCAATCAAGAACATGAATGCCGGGGAGGACGAGAAGAGGAGGAGGCTAAACGAGTGGATGAACCACTCTAGCTTCGACAAGTGACTCTCGAACAAGCAAGGCTGTAAGATCGCGGAGCGACTGGTGCTCAAGAATCTCTTCTGGAATTGGGACTTGCCTAGGACCCTAGAAGGATTCTACAGGTTCAAGGGCTCAGTTATTGCGGCAATAATCCGAGGATGGGCTTTCGCGCCACACTGCGATCTCATTTGGATGGAGACTTCAAGCCCCAACCTGGTGGAGTGCACAAAATTCGCTGAGGGCGTGAAGTCAATGCAGCTGGAGATCATGTTGGCGTCCAGTCTCTATCCCTCGTTTAACTGGGACTCTTCAGGAATGACAGACAAGCAGATGAGAGAATTTATCCCAAGGATTGCCAAATTAGGATTTTGCTGGCAGTTCACACTCGCTGGCTTCCACGCCGACGCGCAGGAGATCGACACGTTTGCCAAGGATTTCACAAGGAGAGGAATCCTGGCCTATGAGGAGAGGATTCAGAGAGAGGAGAGGAACAATGGAGTGGACACACTGGCTCATCAGAAGTGGTTTGGTGCTAATTATTATGATAGGTACCTCAAGACTGTCCAGGGAGGCATCTCCTCCACAGCTGTTATGGGCGAAGGCAAGATGAACACCTTGTAACTCCATTATCTCTGCATCCTAAAATAAAGCGCATTTAACAATTTAATTTGGTTTGGTTCACATGACTGTCATTTCTCATGCTGATAAGAAATTTTGTGACATGTAGGGTTGACTGAAGAGCAGTTCAAAGAATCATGGACGAGGCCGGGGGCAGTGGGGCTTGGAGAAGGAGCAGTCGTGGTTGCGAAGGCGAAGATGTAGGAGAGCTATATGTGGCCATTTTCAATTGGGGGTTTAGAGGGATCATTGCCCAGTTTCTCTATTTCGTGGAACTGGAGTAGAATAATAATGGGTGGGAAATAATTTACAATTAGGTCATTTGAGTCATTATGGGCATTGTTTTTTGGGGCCATAATGTTGTATGTCAGCAATCTTTTTCAGCTCTCTTCTGAACTTTTGGTACTGGTGCTGCTTCAAACTCTGTTTATGTTCATTGTAATTTGCTCAAGTATTTGAATAAGTCGCTTTTTATTTTAGCACAAGTATACATAGTCATATATGCTCACAAAGAATAAGAAATCATCTAAATGTGGTGGAAAAATAATATTAAAGCAGAACAATAGCATAATGCGCAGTTCCACAAGCTTCATCTCCACTTTCAAAACAGAGTCCTGAGAAATAGAAAGAACAGAATGGGAAAAAAAAGGTTGCCGCGCCGCACCTTGTAAAGACTTGTCATCTTCTGTCACTTTATGCCTTTGCAGTGTATTGAAAGCTTGAAATATACTGATGTGATTACTTTATCCATGGCTTTAGGATTGAGAATATGACGGTGATTGCAATGACTAGGAGCAAGATGATGGCTATAGTCATGCACTTTATTGACTTCTTTTGCAAGTTCTTGGCAGTGTTGAGAGCGTCTGTGCCCATGTTCACATGGTTCACTGCATTAGTCACCTGCACAAAATGGATATACTAAGCGCGGTAGCATCAATCGCTTTTAAGTAGTTTCATTAGCACTTCCCTTCACTTGTAATTTAGGACTTCAATTTTTTTTTGCGAATGTGATCCCATCAAGCCAACAAACCTATTGAGTATATCTTAAATTCTTTATGGGTTTGGGTCAACGTTAGGGGTTAAGGACAACATAAATATTATTTTTCTCAAGTTATTAGGTTAAGAAGTTGAGACAAAAGGAGTCTTTAGTTTTTTAGCCACCTTTTATAATCCTTAAATTTCTATAGTGGATTTTTCTTTTCCTCTCTCCGTGGTTTTTCCCGCAAGAGTTTTCCATGTAAATATGTCCGTCTTTTTTTTCTTAGTTTTAATTTCATTATAATTTCCGCATCAGTCATAACAGTTTGGCACATGACTAGTCTCTTTTATCTGAAGAAATAAATAGTCCAAAACTTAAAAGAACAAAGCAGCCTCATAATGAGTACGGTCTCTAGCAACAGACACATGAACCATATTATTAACTTCTATCGAACTTTTCCTTGGTTCTTTTATCTCGAAACTATGCTCCAGCTTCTGAAGAACCTTAGATTTCATGCGCAAGGTAAGGAAATAACGGACGCCGACATTTTGAATTGGGCAAACAGAAAAGTTAAGAAGGCAGGTAGATCATCCCAAATGGAGAGCTTTAAGGAAATAAAACCAGACAACAGCTCGCATTAGAATCGAAATAATCATAATTCAAAGTTGAAATTTACTTTTCTCTTTTGTCCCTATTAGGACAAGAACCTTTCGACTGGGATTTTCTTTCTTGAGCTTCTTAGTTGTGTGGAGCCAAGGGTGGTCAACTGGAGTCTTGTCACGAAAGGGGAAACTGGTAGTTCATTCTCATTCTTCATTTAGATATTATATATTTACATTTACATATTGTATTTTGTGAATTTGAATGTTGAAATTGCTATTTTCTCTGGAATAAAAATAACGGAATGGATTACATGAGTTACATTATTCTACTTCATCGACCACACTAGTGTGTTTCTCGTGGACCATGGTAATGATATTTCACGCTTTATCTGCAGATGAGGATGAGAAGTTAAATGCCACATATATAATCAGTGTTGCTAGAAAGCTCGGGTGTTCCAATTCTCGTTACCTGAGGACATTATAGAGGTACTTCCACTTTGATAACTTTAGATATGCAGTTCACATTACTTGTCCAGGAAAAAAGTTGTTCATTTTCAGTACTAGTTATGGTTCAGTATTAATTTTGCTGCTTCTTCTGAAATGGGTCTCTTCTGACTGCCGTCATATGGTTCTTTATTTACTTGTGCTCGAAAATGATTTGTTGATCATATGACATGACACTACCCTGAAGTGAATCATCTGTCTCCCCTTTTCTTTTAGTTCTTCATTAGGTTAGTTTGTAAGTCTCTGGTGGCAACTGGGTTATAAATGCCTTGTAAATTTTTTGACGGTCTGCTTAGAACTCTCAGAATTTCCACAGTACATGATGATAACATTTAAAATGCTTGTTTACAACTTGCTATTAGTTAAGCTTTGATTAAACAGAAGGGCTTCTTTGTTTTTCACTTCATCATTTAGACAAAGTGGCTGATCTCACTTTGCCTGAAAACTGAAAATTGTCCGCTGATCTTGCTAAGTTTCCCCCTCATTATATAATATACAGCTGCTTTGGACTTGCCATTTCTAAAAAACTATCGGTTAGCATTTCTTGATGTTATTTTCAATTTGCCATGAGGACAGGTAAACCAGAAGATGATTCTCACTTTAACAGCGAGCATCATGTATTGGAGCCTGCAGCAACAGGCAGGTGAATCAGAGACCGGTGAATCCTCTGATCTAGATGCATCACCAGTGAGTTCTGTAAACGGCGAAAATGACAAAATTCTGGCCAGTGAGAGATCTCCGATTTGTCTGTCAATGATGCTGCTTCAGATGTCACACCTTCCCCACAACTTGGAAAGGATGAATCTTAGCAAGAGGTTGAAAATACAGAACCATCACCTAATAGCGAAAATGGGGTTACCATTGAGGGATCCCCTTCACCTGAAAATGAAAAGGCCTCTTCTCATGTGGAAGGCGGAGGACGTGATACGGAATGATGATAGCTGTGACTATTATTTTCTTCTTCTTGGTTTTTTTTTAAAGAGAATCAATTTACAGATGAGTTTTAATTTACACAATAGGAAATGCTCAATTCATTTATACTTGTAAAATGCAGAAGGTGAAGGGGTCCTGTTTGTATCCTGCTCGTGACAATTTTCTTTACATGACTATTCTGATCATGCTGAAGCCATATTTGATGCTTCAGGATCAGTTAGAAATTGAATGAAATTTGTTCCTGCTCTCTCTGTGTATCTGAAGATGACAGTTTGACAGTTCCTTTCCACCTGTATGGAAATGCATCTGTGCTCGGGTAGTCTCTTCATGGAACACTGCTGTTGCTTAGTTAACATGATTGGGAAAAACATTGTTGCATCTTTCAACAGTTTGCATATTCAAGCAACAGTGTCCAACAGCTTTCAATAGTTTGCATTTTCAAGCAACACAGGTAATTGGACACGTAAAAGCGGTTTACAAGGAAGTTAGATGCGCCCACGTGCCTATGCACACGCGCTTATCTGCACAATAAATAACGAATGTTGACGTTTGCAAAATCTAACTGGAACTTCAAATACTAACCACTCGAGATTCTCAGAGGCCTATACCTCCTTCATTCTCTGCATGCTTACTCATTACATTGTTTTAACAATTCTCTCTGCACGTATACACATTTGTAGACATACAAAGCTGTTGAAGCGCTTACATGCCCAATACATACCTAATTGATATAACCATAGACAAATGCGTCATCAAAATTTGTCCAAAGCAGTTCTTGCTCAGGAAATTCAGAAGGAAAATGCAGTTCTCACATTGTAATCTAAAAAGAGTCAGAGATGCAAATAAAAACAAGAACTAAAATATCACTCCAGTTACAAAATTTCCACACTATCCGACGTCTTTTATTTATATCATAGAAAAAATGATTACAATCTACATTTCAGTTTTCTATTTGTTTAATGTAAGAGGAGAAAGGAGGATCTTCATTATGCAACATAACCATGATCATCATCGTCGCTTAAAGTTTCAGACTTTTCCTGTTCAGCCACAAGCATGAGCATTTCAAGGCGCTTATCAAAGAGCAATGCACTCTCATCTCTCTTGTCTAGTTCAGCAGCTTCAGCTTCAAGCCACTTCTCACGTAGGTCATCTAGCAGATTGGCTTGGTCAGTATTTGCCACAGCTCCAGGAGCACTTGGAACAGTGGTTCGAAGCGAAGAATCCCTAGAGGGAGGTGGCAAAGTCAATAACATTGCTCGGAACTCACGAGTGTCCGCAAATGTCTCAAAGTTACAAGCCATTGTATCTAGACAATACTCTCGCATCTTCAGAACTCCATACCTACACATGCAGCATAGATGTGAAAAAGAGAACTCTCATCCAAGACTCGGGCCTGTTTGATAAAACTGAAAACCAAGTACTGAAAATATAAAAATTGGATCTTAAGTGCTAATATCTTTAGTGCTGATGATAAAAATAGAACATTATTTAATAATAGCTGAATATAGAGTACTGAATAATGTTTAACACAATACCAAATATGGAATGATGAATATCATTGGTAGGTTTTAGACTTTTAGCAATGTTATAAGCAAGATTTTAATTCCTTTTAAAATGCGTATTTTTATCAAAGTAATTAAGTAACCCCAACCTTACTTAGCAAATTAAGAGATTTTTTTTACTTAATTGAATCCTTTAAATCAAGACTAATTATAATTGTTCAACGTGTTTAATTTTATTAAAGTGCTGAACATATAAATTTTCAACACTTAATAGGACATATCGAACAGGCCTGACTACATAGTTTCAGCCACCTATTCCAGCATTAGGCACATTGCTTTTCTCGTTCATTTTAAACTGACCATGACAAAACATCCTCTTTCACTAGATAGACAATGAAAACCACAAAGGGATTTGAATGATTCAGCAATTTGACTCTTTAAATAGAAAAAAATGCCCAACTATCATGAACTTCAAGATTTATTAGCAATATTCAGGGATTTAACTAGTTAATTAATTGAGTCAATATGCCGTAAACTTGTACATTTCAGTATCTGTGCCTTGACATATATGAAATTATAGAGCAACCAATCAAGGAAATAATTGAATCTGGAGACATATCTGTGCTAAACTTACATGTCTGATAGCATCAACCACTGGCACAATTCAGCTGGCGAGGCCATTTCCAGGTGTGGCAACAATACATCAGCCACAGCACGCTTCAGAGGGAAAAATAGATATCTAGAAGCAGCACCAAACATTTCCTCTGCCTGCAAATTAGTTCAGTGAGTTCCAGCACCACGAAATAGGACCATCTACCTTCAATCAACTAGTATATGAAATACCTCATCCGGATCTACTTCCTTTAAACTATCTGTGTATCTGAACCATCAACGAGCATGTATAAGTTTCACTATGGTGAAACTTGAAGATGAAAATCACTGAGAGAATAAACTCATTCAAGTTAAGAATTTATGCATCATAGTACTCTTAAAGACAAAAAGGGGTCCCAACTCTTAACAGTGCACCAAACTGGGCTAGGACTAAAGAAACAGAGCTTATTTGGAGAAGAACTATTGAGACCACTACCAAAAAACCGATCTAAATACTGAATGGATGCAAACAGAGATGCTCCACTGAAATACGTCGTCCGACACTTACATATATTCAATCATTTTCTCAAAAATCTCCATGCTTAAGTCATGTTCTTCAATACATCGAAGTGTGGCTGCAGGCAACATATCTTTCTCATCCTGTACATCCCTCATATGGGATAATCTTGCTCTAAAATATTCTGACCTCGATGCTAAAACCACCTGATGGCAACGAAAAATCTTTTTATCAACTCTAACGCAAACATCTGCAAGATCGTCGACAAAATCATTTATCTTCAATGCACCAATAGAAGCAACTAAATTATGAACACCATTCTGCATGTTGTGCTCCGAGGAAGAATTGGCAAGGCAAATCTGAAGAATCCAATTCATAGCAGCAGGAAGGCGATCCTCCTCAGGAAGGGACAAACCCTGTAAGATGAATCGCTTTTGAGAGTTATCTGCATCCCTCAATGATTTGTACTCCGCGTACTTTTGATGGATCAATTCGTTCTCAAGAGTTGTTTCCAATGACTCCCATTTGCAGACTTTGCAGATCCTAACAAGATCTTCCATGTCCTCTTCAGAGATCTCTAGTCTGTCTGAATAGAAAAAGTGAATAAGGCTGTAAAGTGCAGGATACGACAACCTTTCCTTGGAAAATCTAACTTCTCTGCGATCTTTCCAATCTGATTCAAACAAAGAAAAGAAAAAATTGAAATAAAAAATAATTAAAAATTTGAATATTTTTAAAAAATTCAAAAAAAATTTTGCCTGAGATAAAGTCATGAGATTAAAATTAATTTCCAATGAAATCCAAACATCAGAAAGTGATTTCGATCGTGTATCATCAAACAAAGGAAAACAAATTATATTCCTAGAAAATGCTTTTCGGGAAATCATTTTAATTTATCATTAAGTTTTCCGCAAAACAAACGCACTCTTAACTTTTTTTTCCCAAAATAGATCACTCTAGAAAATATAAATCCCAAAATAGATTTCTATCAAAATTATTTGGGGCAATGACACAAATTATCCCTAAATTTTAGCTAAATGTGCAATGTGGTCCCTGAATTTTTAATTTGTTCAATGCGATCTCTAAACTTTACCCTAATGTACAATGCGATCTCTCAACTGTTCATTTCTATTTGATTCCCATGCACTCTCCGGAGAAAAAGATATATAAATTCCATCACATATTTATTCATCTTCTATCTTTATCTAATGCACTCTCTGTACTGCTGGGAACAAAGAGGGACGTAGCAAAATACTGAGTCTTTGCATGGCCCGAGTCTTGACCTTTCGTAGGTGTATTAGCATTAACGATTCAATATCGAAGCGTGCAGATCACATCTGAGGGTATGTGTTTGCCAAATGATGATAACAACTGATTGCTTTAGCTTCTTTTTCATGTTGTTAAAACATCCTTACTTCACGTATGTCCACGCTATTTTCGACAAAACTTTCGGCTCTCGCACATTTTCAGATACAACGCGATACCACAACATTATGATGCATGCTTTGTATGTTGATTACATGGGGCTCCACAATAAACAAGAATTAGTGCATTTTTGTCTATTGACGTGCCTCTGTCAACAGATAAAAAGAACTCTTTTAAAGGAATCATCTGCAAAACTTTCGTGTTTTTGAAACCGCTCTTAAGAGAACGCCTTTTCATGTAAGAAATCTTAGAAGTCTATATTTTCTCCTTTGATACTAGAATTGATTGTGGGTTTGAACCTCGCTAGGCTCTCCTAGACTCTTTCGAGACCCAGCATGAAATGCCATTGAGGAACTTAGACAATCGACTCTTTTAACTTGTCCCAGCACAATCATCTCGAGTCTCAACATAAACTCATTGGTTGTCTTCTGCCTGTTCCCATCTATGGACAAGGTATGATGAGTATTGGAGGATGATAACCGTTTGAATTTGGAGTATCAAGAGGTCAGTCACTTTCTTTGGATTCTCTAACATCGTATTCGTACTAATGAATCCCGACAAGAACCTAGCGCTTCTTTTCTGAGGAGAAGAAGGGCTAATTGGTAAATAGTCTGCCCATAAGATAACTCTTCTATTTACGGGAGTGCTTTAGTTCATGCTCTACTTCATGCTTTGTTTACTTCTCCTCTTTCCTTCACTGTGCTCAGTCAACGGTGTACCTTATACAAGCAACTAACTCTTTAGTCTCGGTTGGTATCGTTGTCCAATGCATTCTTCATTCCAATCTCGGGCCTCAGTCTCCAATCCTATCTTTCGTGAGCAGTGAGGAATAGGATCACTTTTCCTTTCAGTCTCGAAGCAAGCTTTGTGTGGTAGAATCCCTTCTTTTCTTAAACCAGTCCATTAGTTAGTCTATAATCTCTTTCGTGCCGTCAGTAGGATTGAAAATCCTCACTTCATTCAAAATAAAGAAATGGAATAAATAACCTTTCCATGCAGATAGTTTGTTTAGAAACAATACTTCTAAGTAGTAGCTTGCCGTCTCAAACATATGGGTCACTAACGGTCTAACACAAGGAAAAAGAAGAGAGAGTTCAGGGGTTTCTCATGAGCTAATTTGATTTTTCCCATAGAGAAGCAAATTTGGTAGTCTAATAAAGTGAAAAGTACCAAAAAAATCATAAACCTATTGTATTGATATTAATTCAGTCATAAACATTTCGATTACATCAATATATTTCTAAACTTTTTCATTTGTGTCAATTCAGTATATCCGATCAATTTAGGCCAGAAATTGCTAACGTGAACGTCAGTCGTTCTACATGACACGACTAACACTGACGTTGACATTTTTTTGTATATTTTTTGTGATTTTTTAATAATTTTTCCCTTTTTTTCCTTTCTTTTTTTTTTCTTTCCCTTTTCTTTTTCCAGCCACAAGTCATGGCCAACGCCAGCGACAATTGGCCTCGCTAGGTGTCGCCTAGGCGAGGGTGAGGCCAACCCTCACCCAAGCGATGCTCGGCGAGGCTGGCTAGGCTAGCCCTTGCCCTGGACTCCAGGCCTGGTCGAGGGTCCAGGCCTGGTCGAGGGTCCAGGCCTGGGCGAGGGTCCAGGCCTCGCCAGATCTGGCGAGGGGGGCCTCGCCAGATCTGGCGAGGGGGGCCCTCGCTGGCACTCACCCTCACCGGCCATGGCTTGTTGCTAATGGCTGGCGACCAGCCACTACCAAAGAGAAAAGGGAAAGAAAAAAAAAGAAAGGAAGTAATTATTAAAAAAATATCTACGTCAGCGCTGGCTATATCACGTAGGTTCGTTGACATCTATGTCAGCGGTTTCTGACCTAAATTGACCATATGCAAAAGATTTTGGATTAAATTGATCAAATTGAAATGTTTAGAACTAAATTAGTATCAATATAACATATAAATGGCTTTATTTATACTTTTCCCGGTGGATAGGGACCTTCATTCATAAATTTAGTAATATCCCTGCCTAGTCTTGGCAACCTTTTGGGAATTTATCTCTGAAGTGACTTCTACGTGGTGAGGGGACCTAAATTGACTTGTACTCTTTTTTTTTTTTGCCATGAAATTGACTTGTACTTAGCAATCACATGTTAACAAAAAAAACCTGAAATCATATCTCTCTCTCTCTCTCTCTCTCTAGTGGCTGGAAGGTGACGGCGACCTCATCTGTTAGCCGGTCCTAGTTATTTTTGCTTTTGTTTGTTTGAATTTCTCCCTAGCAAAATGATTAATCAACGTTTTCTTTTCTTTCCAAATATTAAAATTTATAATATGCACATAGTCGCCAAGTTGCTGCCATGTAAGGTCCATTGCGGCAGCTAATCCTCACATCAACATTCTCAGTTAGGCTTTTTAACAGAAGGATTAGCACTAACAAACAAATATATAGCTTAAGGACTTCTTGCATAGGGAAAAACATTCCGAGCAGCATTCCACAGATCAAAAAAGTTCAGAGATCTCTCGTGTCAGCATCATTTCGTAAATGTCTCTCCTGTTTTCCCAAATTTCTCCCATTTTTATTGGCCGGCAATTATGTCCTGAAATAGCTAGTGACCTATATCATTTATAATGAAAACGATGCTTAATGAGCCAGTGTACCTCACAGTGTCACTAGGATTGTTGTACCGTTGTCTACGGCTACATCGTTTCACATCTCGAATACTCATTTTGGCGATTGACCTGAACGGCCACAACAACAAATGCTATCGAAAGATGCATTAAGCTGACCTCACTTTCCTCGAGACATCGTGAAGTTGATGCGAACGCAAGCATTTGCCGTAAAACAAAGGGAAAAGCGGCTTCATTCGGGAAGAACTGGGCGCTCCCCGCCGGGCAACCAGCTTTTGTTAGAAAAGGATGGTACATGTACAGGTAAAGTACGAGAAGGAAATAAAAAACGTCGACATATCCAATGTAGAGATCAGCATCCATGTTTGAAAAGCAAGGTTTATTCAAAGAGACCATAGTCTAGTCATCGGTTATGCATAAAAGTTTGAGGCATATATTCGCTTCAACTTTCATCACACGGTTAATCACTTCCACTTCTTGAACTTCCCTCCAAACATGCCATGCTTGCCATGCTTCCCAAACTTCCCATGCTTCCCGTGCTTGCCGAATTTCCCTTGCTTGAACTTCCCGTGGCCGAGGCCATGGCCATACCCGCCGTAGGGGGCGCCATGCGACATGTGATGAGCACCATGAGACAACTGGTGGGCACCGTAAGCAGCTGCAGCAGCAGCAGCTCCTCCAGCTAAAAGAGCCCCCATACCTCCGTGCCCTACGTTAAAACGAGATGAGAGGGAAACCCCATTATATCGACTATCTCCATGCGTCGCCAAAAATTAACATTTCAATTCCAATCAAACTCACAACTTCAAGACCTGAAGAATCAAACGGGACATCGATATGAAATACCATGATACGACTAGAGCTACCAAAAGAACAAGTCGAGCAATTCTGATTATGAGCAAACTCTCAAGGGCCATCTGATATCGATTTCGGGTTAATCTAAAGTGTCACTACAGTAAAGGTGCTCCTTAAATAGATAACCCAAGGACAGAAGCATATATGACGATGTAAACATGACAAACTGAGAAGGAATCCTGCGATTATGCAAATATGAAGTAACCGAGCAAGATCAAAAGTATACCTGAATGGTGCGCAGCGGACGGGCCAGAATGGCCTGCGGGGGGATATCCTTGTGGGGGATATCCTGAGGGCGGATAACCTTGCTGAGGATAACCTTGCGGAGGATATTCTTGCGGAGGATAACCTTGCTGAGGATATCCTTGCGGTGGATAACCTCCTTGAGGAGGGTATCCTTGAGGAGGATAACCTTGAGGAGGGTATGCACCAGGTGGAGGGTACTGGCCAGGAGGATATCCATGGGAACCGCCAAGCCCTAGCTGGCTGAACAGCCCTTTGTCAGATTCGTCGTGCTTGTCCTTTCCGCCTCCCATTGTTTCAGAAAAACAAAGTTTGCTTCACTGCCAGGGGAAACACAATCTCTTGAGATAAAGTAGAAAATTACAAACACAAGAAATATCACCTAAGCAGAACGTTGGCGAATTATTCGCAGTTTAACAATCGAAATCCCCGAATGGAATATCGTGGCATCAATACAGATTGAAAGATAAAGCAGACGAGAGATAATATGAAACAATTACATAACTTGGCCCTCCAGAAAAGATGAGTACTGATGTAATGCTACTTCTAACAATGATCAATGACGCGCAACAACATCCACAAAATGGTCAGCGCATTTTTATCATGTGATCAGCCAGACACAACTTCATCGAAGAATTAAGGGAAAGCTAGAATCACATTAAGTAAACCAACCAAATAATATGCCGACCAGTGAGAACTACTAGAAATTTAGAACCCAAAATCCAGAATGTCGGATCATAGGCGTAAGCCAACACCGCAAAAAGAAATCGGAGAACCTATTCCAGCGTGACGAATGCTAAAAAAAACAGAGACAACTTCCCACAGCTAGCCTCTATTTCGCAGATCGGAAAATCTACCTCGATCAAGAGAGCGAGTTAAGCACCCACCCCCTGTTCATAAACAACATCCTAGACATTTTCTCATGTGTAAACCCCCGTTCTCTCACTTCCCAATTCGTCAGAAACAATATCACAATTCCATTAAAAACAGGGCTCGGTCGATAATCGCGATTGATCTGCAAAACTCCAACCGGTTGAAAAGAAAACCGATCACGTAACAAGCACTCGACGACCCACCAGGTCAACTCTACGATACTCCCCCGACTCAGCGTTAAAACCCAAAACATCCTTTTTGTCGTACACCTACATTAACTCAAGGAATGGCCCTCACACAGGGCGGATCGGATCGGATCGGATCTGATCCTCTCCCTCTCTACAAACCAAGGACCTAATAATCTTCGAGACCCACAAAGCGAGCCCAAAAGATGCATCCGTTCGGTTTGACAAATCTCATCGCTAAACACAGGGTGACCCACTCGAACAACAAACATGCAGAATCTCTCAAATCCGAACCACCACCCTCTAGCCCACCGCCGATGCGGCGATCAACCGCGGAATCACACAACCGGACGCAAAAATTTTCGCCAAGAACATTATTGCTATAAGGGGGGGCGGATGACCCAAAGAACCTGAGGATCGCCATGAACAGAGAAAAGGGGAGATTTTTTTTTGCCCTTCGTACCTGTTGGAATTCGCAGCTGAAATCGCTCTCCGAAATCGGGATGGTAAGAATGAGGAACAGATAACGGCTGGGGCGTATATATAGTTTATTCTTTTCTATGAGGCCCACTGATGAGAACGCGTCGGAAATACGCGTAAACGACGCGTCTCCGAGCAATTTTTTTCTTTTTTCTTTTTTTGGCATGGGATGCGACCATGGCGCGCGTGTACATTGGACGGTCCTGGTCTGGCGGATAAGAAAAATCTCTTAACTCTTAAGAAATTGGTTTGACCGTCAATTAATTATTCAAGAAATATGCTCCCCGTATTGCGGCTATTGATGTACGTTTCTTACTTAGTGCTATCCACGAAAAATGCGAGAAAGCGTGATGTTAAATAGCAATTTTCATTATTGTGTTTCAATTAGAATCGTATATCATTCTCGTTTTATATAAAGTACTTTCAAGTTTAGAATTTAAAAATAATGGAACTGATTTTTTCTTTATGATAATACAAATGGTTCCTGAACTTTGGTCCAATATGTAATGTGGTATTGGTCTCTGAATTTTAGCTCACTGTGTAATATCATCTTTGAACTTTTAATTTGTTCACTATGATCCCTGAACTTTTGATACATGTTCAGTCCGGTCCCTGAACTATATGAAAATATTCAATGTTGTTCCCGAACTTGAATTAATAGAAGGATAACATTGAGCATCTTCATATAGTCTTGGGACTAATTGGAACATATATCAAAAGTCAAAGGGCCACATTGAACAAATTAAAAGTTTAGGGACCATGTTGCACATTAGGTTAAAATTCAACAACCACATTGAATAAATTAAAAATTTAGGGATTATATTACACATCAAATCAAAGTTTATGGACTATTTATGTCATTATCCTATCTTAGAGCATAATTACTCTCAGTCGATTACAGGAAAAAGAAATGAAGTTTCTCTATTCGTGGAAATGGCTACATTAAGTAGAAGTACAATTATGTAAGAATGGTCACCGATATCTACACACACATTTTTTTTTTTTGGTAAGGATATCTACACACACATTTTATATATTCAAAAGTAACATATATATATATATATATATATATATATATATATATATTGCTTTTGATCACATCTTTATCATGTGTAGATGGGCTAATTAGCATATTTGGGAAATTTTTTCCTAAACTCAAGGACCAATCAATCAGTACAATAAAAGTATCCATTCTATAATTCCTAAACTTCTTTTTACACTACTTGAAATGCTAAATAATCGAGCTAAGAAACCACTTCAAAATCGAATAAACTATATATAGAAAAATAAGAAAACTCATTAAAAAAATCTATGAAGATTCTTATCACTTAAACACTAATTATAATTGTACTCATTTACCTTGAAACTCAAAAGAAAAGAGATGTCACAATAAAAGAAAAAAAGGTAGGAAATATACTATTCTACCTTGGAAATTATGGAATAATCAACAAAATTTCCTAAGAAGGCCACATCACCATTTAGATAATGAAAGAGAATCAAGGAACGGCCTTAATGATTATGTTTTTCCGTTTGAATATTCACTTTGTCTCCACTTAGCATTATATTAGCAGAGTATGATTTCTCTGGATAAGTGCAATTGAAATTCTCAAACTCGTCACGAAAATACAATTAAATTCTAAAAATTTTCGATTTGTGAAATTAAGTCCGAAAATTTATCCAATTTGTTCGATCAAGTACTTTTGTTAGCTCCATCCAACTTTTAATGAAAAATGCCGATATGGTTTTTTTAATGTTTTGGAGACCATGTGGCAATGGTTAGCACCAAACGGATGCCATGTCAGCAAAAAAAGAAAAATAGGAAAAAGGAAAAATTACCTCAAGAAAATGAAAAACACGGAGAGAGATTGATCGTTGGTCTTCATCGGAGTACCAATCATTGGTCTTTCAACCAAGTAGCGGCATTGGCGAGGTTCAGTAGCTCTAGCGCATGGTGGTGGTGCCTCACCACCACTTCGCGAGGGCGGGCCAATGCTCGCATCAAAGTTGAGAGGCCCGGCCACCCCTTGCGTGGTGGTGGCAAGCTGGGAGAGAGCTTGGAGGCCCTTGCCTGCTTGTGGAGAATGCTATTGGCTCTTGCGTGTGGTCGGCGAAGGTGGGAGATGGCGCCGCCCCATTCAAGCAACCTCGGCCACCGTGAGAAACCCCCAAGCGATCATCTCTCTATCTTCTCTTCTTTCTTTCTTTTTTTTTTTTTAGTTTTTCAAACTGCATAACGTTCATATTTTTCGTCACTCAAATTGGATAGAATTAACGGATGTACTTAATTGGACAAATTTTACTAATCGAAGAAGTCTCAGGACTTGATTGTTCAAATTAAAAAAATTTAGGACTTAATTGCTTTTTTCGTGACAAGTTTTTATTGCTTCAGTTAAACTTACCCCCTATATATTTCGACCAAGGAAAAAAACTTACCCCTATAATATATGGAGGATTCCATGGAAATTTGACACTGAAATCATTTTTGAATATGTTTTATAGCATGGAGAGCTCAAAGGAAGGTTACCGCCTCTAACGCTTATGAAAGAACTCGACCAAGAAAGATTAAAGCTATCAATGCATTAATTGGTACAGTCAAAATCAAACATTTCTCAAGAAGCACTCTTGAAATTGAGTTCTTTAATGTGAAAATACGATAACGTTAGAATGGATGGACATTGTTGACTTTTGGGAGTTTCCCCAGAGAAAAGGGGAGATATTCACTTCATCATCTTGTATTAGCGAAGAACCGCCCGTTGCAGACTCTCAGACTTATCAACACCTGCTTTCTCTGAAAAATTCAAAGTCGTAGACACGATCCCAAGCTACATTCATGGTCAAAATCTTAACAGGCTAAGTGAGATAGTCGGTCGAGTTGGTTAAAGGAGGCTTACCCCCCGGTGGAGTCCTGCTTGGTCACGAGTTCGAATTCCCGAGTCGATATTAGGTCTGACGAAATTCTATTTCGTCCATGGTGTAGGTTCCGCTCGTGTAATAGGCGTCAGGATCACTCTGGCTTCACTTCAACTCGCAGACGGTGATGCAACGAGGGGCTTGCCAATTTTCGGGGTAAAAATTAGACTTCTTGTTAATTCCATCCTAGATACCAATGTGAAAAGGTTTATGACTAAATTAGTCATATTGAAATGTTTAGAATAAAATTGGTACAAATACAATAAATTTAGGACTTTTATTTTTACTTTTTCCCAGCTTATGACAATTGAAGAGCAACAATGAGGCGGACGAGCTACTATGGCAATGGCCTGGGGTGGCAGAGGCGGCGATTAATCACAACGACGAGAAATGGCTCGATCGTGAGCCCAATTAGTCGATGCCTACACTTCTCCCGTCGTCGTTCGGGATGAATCGGGTCAAGACAAGATCTCCTCCTCCTTCAAATCTCAAGTTCTCGTCGACATCCAGGGGCGACGAAGGGCATAAAGAGATTGGATACAAAGCGGTAGCTGTCCCTTGTTCAGGTATGCAATTTACCTCAAATGAAGTCGAATTAGTCAGAAATGCCACGTTTTGTCTTTTGCCCACGTTGGACTTCAATTTTTTTAAAAGGAGCCATGTAGGACTCTTTGCCGGAAAATGTTGCTGGAGACACTTAAGTAGTCATTTTTTTATTCGATGTAACAAAAAGTTTTGGCATTGAAAGTATCGTAAGAAAATTATAGCTCTTCTAATATTCTATTACCCAATTTCTACAGAGAGTTGGCAAATTTATATATCACTAAGCAGTAAGCAAGACAAATAAAAGATGGTAAGCTAATTAAAAAATTGATAGTTTTTTTTAAATGAAATTTTTGTAAGTAACTTAAATGAGTTTTGGTGAACTAAAACTAGTTGATAATCCAATGTAATTGTAAGTCGCACAAATAAAGATTTATAAATTCATACAAGAGTTGATCAATTCGAGGCATTTGTAAGAAAGACAAAGAAAAACTTGGTAAACATAACAAAAATTGACAAGTTAAAAAAGAAAAAAAACAAATCAGCTGCCAAGTAACTAAAACGAGAATCAGCATCAGCATTTATGTTTTCGTGTATGTCTCCTGATTTTTGGATGCTCGAGTTCTCATCCTTTCCGCAAGAAAAATAAGCAGCAGTAAGTATTCTCGTGACAGAAGATGGAATCAGACTTAGCAAATGAATGTTAGCATTGCCATGACTAGAGCAACCGAACTCAAAATGCTTAGACAAGCAATGAGCTAGTAATTGAAGCTGTCTAACCCCCAGCAAAGATGCAATTCAACCCCCTTTTCATATCTCAAGCAGTCTACAAAGTAACAATCACATTGACCAGACATCGACGTAGAACAATCTAACCAGGCCGAGGAAGCAATCATTGCACTCTGACAGGTTGTGACGATAGCAGTTTAACAATCTCCGAGATACCCACCCTGTCTTTCCCTTCCAAGATGCTCTTTAACTTCTCTTCGCAAAGAAGGTCCTTCTTGATTCCAGGATTCTGCAGGTAACATGACAGTGTCAAGCTGAATAAATAAGAACTCCAACATTCTAAAGGACCAGAAATGGAAGGTAAGCCGAAGAGGTAGTGTAGGTATATAGTCTCATCACTAGTATGATCATGTGAAGAAGAGTAAAGAGTATATGGTAACACTGATGTAGTTCCAAGTACTTGTCAGGTGTCGGTATGAAGTATCATTGCAACATCTGTGGCAGAAAACTTGCTTGTTACTTACATCCTACAGTCTGCGGTAAGAGTCCCACGTAAGCGAAATATAAAATCCATTTCAACAGAACTGACGTTCCTCTTGAGTTTTTAGCTCAACAAGATTTTTCTGCACAGGAAAAGTCTCAAGGACACGATGATCCACTGAAACTAGTGCACCAGACAATGTGTGGCGACTAGAGCAACTCCGATGCTAACCCGAGGAATTCAATGAATCCCAACAAAAAACAATTAGAAAGGAATACAAGCCAACTCCATGTGCCACAATTAGTGAACAAGATGAATGAAAGATTCCATCAGCCAAGCAATTTATACCGAGGGTCACGTAAATAAAGGAACCAAATTCTTAGTCTCTACTGCTTAAAACCCCCAGCCTAGGACTTCACGAAAAACCATCAATCTAGGACTTTGCAAACATATTGACGACGTCCTCTGGCTCTGCACCATCAATTCAGCTCCAAGGAGGCAAATCTGGCTTCGTTTCACAAGACCGATCGAGATTCAGCATAAGCACCACATGATTATCACGGACCGCTCGGTGTGACATTTCAATCGATACAATTGTTTCTTTCTAAAACTCCAACAACAAAAAAAAAAAAAGCTTCTTTTTCTTTTTCTTTTTATTTTTCAACAATCTCTTTCCGTATCTGCGCTCCTCACATTCTCACAGTAAATTCATCGAACACCTGGAGTGCTTGATGAACAAACCCAAACCGAATTAACACGAGAGAGAGGGAGAGGACCTGGCGGGTGTGGAGCTTAATGAACCGGGAGACCAGGACAGCAGTTTCGGATCGAGAAACCTCGGGGATGCCCATGAACTTGCCCAGCTCCGAGGAAGCCGACGGTTGCTGCGCTTCTTTTCCCTTTGACAGATCCTTGGCCCGTGCCAATCCCCCGGAGGTAGGACGGAATTTGGCGCTGCCCCCCTTCGCCGCCGACGCCAATATCCTCGCGACCGCCATGTCTGCTCTGCTTTTGATAGCTCCCAGCTCCTTTCTTCGGTTTTCCGATCCTGCCGTGCGATTTGCGATCTATCCTATATGTCCCGGTCACGCTCGAGGTGATTAGGAATATTACGCACTTGTTAATCGCTCATTAAGGAAAGATTACAATTTTAACGCGTCGTCAAAAATCGAAATTCGTTTATAAAATATATATTTGGTAGGTATTCGACATTACAGAAAGGTGAAGAAGTTACGAATATGCCAACGAATAAAATCTTACTCCATATTTTAAGGGGAAAATATCACCAAAAACCTTAAATTATGCCACTTGTGATAAATTTACCTTGAACTTTTTTTTGTGACACGAAAAACCCCAAATTATGCGACTTGTGACACATTTACCCCATAGTACTTTGGCCCATGGGCATTTTCTTCTTTTTTCTTTTTCCGTTTTTTTTCCTTTTTTTTTCTTTTCTTCTCCGGTGAGGGCTGCCCTCACCCGACGTCGGCGAGGGTCGCCCTCGCCAGATCTGGCAAGGGCAACCCTAGCCTGAATCGGGCGAAGTCGCCCGACGCCGGATCTGGCGAGGGCAACTCTCGCCGGCGTCGGGCGAGGCTGCCCTCGTCGAAGAAGAAAAGAAAAAAAAAAGGAAAAAAAAAACAGAAAAAGGAAAAAGACAAAAATGCCCATGGGTTAAAGTATTGTGGGGTAAATGTGTCACAAGTGACATAGTTTGGGGTTTTTCGTGTCACAAAAAAAGGTTCAAGGTAAATTTATCACAAGTGGCATAGTTTAGGGTTTTTCGTGTTACAAAAAAAAATTCAGGGTAAATTTGTCATAAGTGGTATAGTTTGGAATTTTTTATGGTATTTTCCCTATTTTAAAAAGTCACAAATCAAGTGTGATTATTATTGATTGTGCATCTATCGATAATAATTTCATTATATTGACATTCACTAATCGCATGAAAATAATTTATTTGCAAAACTAGGAGTTACTTTCTCTAAGAAGAAAAAAGTATAATATGTTCGTAATTATTAGGGAGCGAACTTATAAATGTGTTGAAAGTTGTCTTTTGCAATGAAAAATTGTTACTATTGTGACAAAAAGTTATTGGTCGTATGTAACTATCTATTGACTTTTCGATTATGAAAAGTTATTAGACACAATAAAAAAAGTCATATGATATGATTGCTTACTTGACTTTTAATATGAAAACTTATCAGTTAGATGGAGCAGTTAGCACTAATTATGTTAGATGTGGCTTTCCTCCTCAAGTTACCATCACATCACAAAGATTTGGGTTTGTTTGTCTAGATTTATAAAAAATCAAAATATTTCTTGAATTCTAAAAACCTATATATATATTGTTAAGATTTCAAGTGCTTAATATTAAAAGATTTTCAAAGTGCGCAGACCACAAGATTTGAAGGAAAAAATAAAAAATAAAAGTCACTTCGGACATATACAATATCCAAACATGTATCCCGAATTTTTAATTTTCAATATCGTCAAAGTGGATTGGCTCAGCTAGTAAGGTTAGAACTCTCCGCGTATCATGCTCAAATTCGAATTCTATTGTCAACAGTCCCCTTTGATAACCTCAGCATGAGGTAACCTCCTTCCTCCTAAATTTTTTTGACAAAAAAAAAAATTACAACACTTATTTGGGTTATCAAACAGACCGTAAGTTGTTGAAGACTACTCTTTTCAATTGAAAATGTTAAATAGTAGCCCTATCTTAGGCCACTCGTTAACTCTTATTAAATATGCCTTGAAAATCGAAAATTTGCTATTTCAAGTAATTAGCTTCCTTAAAACGTGTACTTCTTCAATTTCCAAAACTTCTTGAAAAAAGTGCAATTAATTTGAGTTAAGTTAATCAGCGTCTAAGTGTACTTATTGACAAAACCCTTCTTCAATATGAAAATTTCCAATAAAAAAACCCCTCAACTTGAAAGGATTACAAATTTCTACATACGTGAACCAAACTGTCTGACGGTAAGCTCCTCTAGTAGAAACAGTGTCGACAATATCGATCAAATTTTGGTTTGACGGTCTCAACTTTGGACCATTTCTGCAAGGCTTTCTAGTCTTAAAAACTGCTGGAGAGCAAGACAGACACGATTTTTCACTTTCACCAAGAATCCCGTAATCAAGGATGGTGGAACTTTACACTTCATCTTACCTTTCTAAGAAAGTCTCTATAGACCTCCTCAGCATTTCTTTAACCACAACAGAGCCCAGATGGAGACTTTCTTGCTCGCAGAATGATCACTACAAGAAGACTTTTGATTATGTAAAGCGAATCAAATACATCATAAGATGGTGGTGATACAACTCGCCGTATCCGCTCCAAGCCCACGTCGCGGAGAAACCATAAACCAGACAGCTTCGAAAGGCCCTCGGGATCGGAAGCAGCTATTCACAATACAAGAGTATTCGCTTCACATTTCCTTACTTCATCGATAACCCACAAGGCTTCCCAGAAAGTGTCTATCTCATACCCACTCATTCCCAGTGCGAAGCAGTTGACCATAATGAAATCTTACTTGAAAGTGTTTTGAGTGCAGGGTGCAGGTAGTGACAGGCACTAATGGTGACGGTGTCTACTTCTCTGCTGGCTAGCAGAATCAAAATCCCCAGACGAATATGAATAAGAATGGTCCCGCGCCCGCCTGCTCCTTTCATGTCTATGGCGTTTATCAACTCCTTTTTTTTCAGAATCCCTCGAGTGCGACAGCTTCTTTTTGCTCCTTTTACTTCTGTGACGCCTATCAATATCATCCTCGGATGAATATGGATGCTTGTGCCTGCTCCTTTTGCGATGCTTCTTATCATCTTCTGAATCATCAGAAGAACTCGATTCAGAGTGATTGTGCTTCTTTTTATGCTTGTTCTTCTCCTTCTTGGACTTTCTCTCCCCATAATCAGAAGGTGAAGAGGATCCATCTTCTTCAAAGTCCTCTCTACTATCAGGAGATGACTGCCTTCTGTGCCTTCGCCTCTTCGAGGATTTTTGTTTCTTCGGTTTGCTTGCAGGAAAGCTAGACAGCAGATCCGGAATATTACTGGTGCTAAGAAAACCTATGCATTAAAGATGACCATGATTAGCATGACATTAGATTACAGTCTGTCACTGTTTTGCTGGTGGGAAATTTGTACCTCCATACTCGTCGAATATGTCCTCAGCGACTATTTGCTGGTTTGGATCATCAGGATTAAAACCTCCACGTGGGGGACTCATACCAGGTTTCTGTTTCAGTTCCCATTTCAGAGGCTGCAAAGCCAAAGGATGATGTTATTCATAAGAAAAAACATAACCCACTCCGTAAACAGTATAATATCATGCTGCATGATTAATTCTGACCAAATAAACATGAGATGAGCAATGCGGTAGATATATCCTCAATGAACCCAAAATGAAGGTTATGTGAGTGCACAGAAAAAATGAATTCTCAAATCAAAATAACAAAGGCATTTCATCAGCTAGCAAGAACAAAAAAAAATGCATGATGACAGGCCAAAAACTGAGATTATTTAAGATTATTTAACAACCGTATTTCACTAAAATTTGAAATTATTTTACATAGTATCTGTCCAGTTAGTGAGAAGGGCCAGAAAAGATAAATGAAGCAGAAGCAAAAGCATCTCACAATATTTATAAGTACTACGATATTCCTGGCAAGACGAGACTTACAAAGTTGATAATCAAGAAATGGAAATGTCAACAACTTTCGGATAATTCCAACACAACCTATAAAATTTATCCTGACCTCGGCCGGATCTGTGTGGGCCAGGATGGCAGTCAACGGATCATCTCTTTTTAGTCGACTCTCTTCATTTGGCATTATAACATCCTTCAATGGGCATTCACGATCACCACTTTGGTGACCAAAGTTCCCACATCTCAAACATTTGACATTTCGTATTTCAATCCCAAATGGCTTCACCCTTGCAGGAGCACCCGTTTCGAGCCTGTAAAATACAATTGGAAAGCAATATGCACATGAAACTGGTCCGGATGATAGGTTAACTTCTTTTGCATGAATAAATGCTAGAATAATCACAGCATAACATGCTATAGAAGATAAAGCTGAGAGTACTTGACATACAAGCGAAAATAAGTAAATCAATAATGACACATCCAAACCTCCACCTACTAATTAGAGTCAGAAACATGGATCCTCCTGTGAACCTATAACCTATATAATATGAGATCTTATGTAAGAGTTGTAAGACTCAGTCTCAGACACTTGAGAACCTTCGTTTGGTTATAATGAATTTCTTACTAGTATTCCAAGAGGCATTAAAATCTCAGTATAAACTGAGGAGATCTGCTTACTTCAAAAGCTCCAACTGTGGAAAAGTTCATGTCTAAAACAAATGAACCTCATTCCATGGCTGTGGGAAATGAATTATGCAATAATCAACGCTAGCACAGAGCCATGCCGCATTTATGTACGTGAAGGAATTAGAGAGCTTTATGAATATGCTCCACAAGAACAGTTGCTGATGATGTAGATTCAAGCATTGATCCAAGGAGAAGAAACTTAAAATCAGGCTAGAAATGACAGTGTAACCAGTATGTTCAGTTTGAGTTATCCGTTTTTTTTTTTCTCTAGAACTTAAGCTGTCTGGAACAGTGTTGTTAAATTGAAATGAATTGCAAACCCTATATTCCGAACCCTGAACCAAATCGAATCATGAATCGTAATTTTCAGTAAAAAGTTGTAAAAAAACTCCAGCAAATATGCATTTCTTACAAAAACTAAGCCATTAGTTGCCAAAAAACACATTAAAGCATTGTATATAAATATTGTTGAAAGAATTATACCCAAAACTGACACTGCTCTATTGTCAATTTCCAATCTAACTTCTAACTTCTGAAGGCCATAGAGGTGCAAAATGAAATAGTCCTAAAACACTTAAAAGAAAAAAGCAAACTGTCAACAACACTTAAAAAAAACCAACACACACAAAAAAATAAAAAACACTATTATGGTCTGCTGAAGCCAGCTAAGAGACGAGACTAATCTTAAATAACTCAAGCTGTGACTGTTGTCCAAGGCATACGATTTACACAAGCTAAATGGAGGGTCAGAGGCTTGCAAAGGCTGGCATTGTTGCCAGTGGTGGCAACGGCCGGTTTAGACCCGGTGACGGCTGGTCTAGAGCTGACAACGAGTAGTCTAGCAGCTTTACAAGTTCCTTTGCTAGCCTGAGGCCTGAGAGAACCAAGGTCTGCTGGCGTGTTTGCAAATTTCTTTTTTTTCCTGTTCCATTTTCCTTACAGTTGCTTTTTTCAAGTTTCAGCTCATTTTTTCTCTTTAGAACCCAATACTTTTGAGCCCAACCTCTATCATAAAACACAACAGAGCAAATTGTCATTTTCCTCCTAAATCGTAGAGTATTGTACGATTCATCTTGGACCGTGCAATTCGCTTACGATTCATGCACTCTGATAATTCATGAGTGTGAGATGGATTGATCAAAGGGTGAACCGAACCAAATTGTGCGATCCAGATCGTGCATTGGGCGATTTTTGCAACATTACTGGAAAACTGACCCACAATGCATATCATGCGTTTATCCTATTATTCACCCTTGGCTGTAAGCCAAACCTTACACAAGGCACGTATGATGTGAAAGTAATTACAGTTTAACAGCATACATGAGGAAATGCCTAGATTTAAACCCTTAACCTACCTGAAGTTTGAGTATCATTTATATTTAACCGTTTTTCTCAACAATTTGCCGTCAGGAAGTAGTTGACTAACATAGCAAAGTACAGCATAAGCATGCTTACAAATCATCTAAACCAATTTTGCTGAAATCTTAGTACTAGTGAATACAACATGCTACGTCCAGCAACACTTTGACCTGACCATTGCAAAGACTACAAAAAACAATATGAACCAGGTCAATTCAGCATTCTAGCATCAAACATGGGGTACGAATCCTATTATCAAGAACAAGATTGCTGCTTAAATATCTCTCATGGTGTTTTATACTGATGCGCAAAATCATTACCTAAAGCGGTGCCATCAAATGGAAAAAGAAGACTCTCCATTCCAGAAACTTGCTACCCTACTTTCATGGCAAGACATTGCAATTGAGCTGAAACAAAGCAAGTATGAAAAGGTACCGTGGAGCATTTTTAAGGATCCCAAACTCCTCTTCTGTTGGCAGAGGACGCCCGAAAACATCTTTTGGCCTAGGTTTTTTCTTTTCTTCAGCAGGGTGATCTCTTTGCTCAGGAGGCCTGCCAGTCATAAAATGGAACTTGTAACAAACATAATAAAGGCATGTGCCAGTCCTCACCAATAACAAAAACAAAAAGGAGTCGCCAAGTAGAGTATGCAGATGCATAGTACATTGAACTGGAGGCTCCACAGATAAGTGGGTCCTGAGTTGGGTTACTCTGCTCCTGCCTTCTCCGTTCATCCTCAATTTCTGCAGCTTTGGCACTTTCAGCATTGAAACCTGGTGGTCTAACATACATGAAGCTAACAGCCTTCATAATCTCCACCTACATTATTCAAAAGAAAAGATAATTATAGACCCCGAAAATAGCAGGGATATGAATAAGGTTGCGCATTTCTAATCCTCATCAAGATAAAATTAGCATACTAGTAACCATCTTATAAAATATTGGCCACCAGACATTGCAAAGTAGGTGTTGTTCTCACTGTCTGTCAAGTGTCCCTAGGAAGTAATGGGTGGCTAGCATTGCTTCATTCATGTCTCTCAAGTGTCAATAAATTCCCTTTCAGCCTCTTCAGAAAACCCAATCAAGACCCAAGGTCAAACCCCCGATTCGAGGGAATTGTCCCGTATCAGAACGAGAAACTAAAGGGGACATAGCATAACAGTTAACTAGCCAAAGGATAGAAGGTTGTAACAGCCTGTGCAACAAAACAAGCCTAAAAACTGGAGCCGCATAGTATTGCGATAATCTACACCAACGATAACAGGACAGTAATGGCAATTGGAAGCCATTACACAATACGAAACGTAAAGGGCCAAAACCGTACCTTCTCCTTCTCTTTCTTGGAGATGAGAGCAGCCTGGCGAAAGAACTCCTGCTCCTGAGCATACTGCAGAAGAAGCGACCAGCCAGCCAACCAGCCAGTCAATCAATCAAAATCACACACAAAACAAATCGGAAAAGCCACGAGGCGAACAGCGAGGGAGTGGGAGGGAGGGAGAGAGAGCGGAGAGACCTCGCGGGCGACATCGTCGGCGCGGCGCTCGCGCTCGGCGTGGACCTGCTCGGCGATCCACTTGCGGCGCTGGTTAGGATAGGAGAGGGGGTGCCAGGGCTTCTGGTTGAGGTAGGAGTGGCTCCACGCCGTGCCCGCCTTGGTCTTGTAGTCGACTTCTCCTCCTCCGACGATGGCTTTGTCGGCGAACCTCTTGCTCAGCCTCAACCCTTCTCCCTCTTCTCCTTCCATCTTCCTCCCTCGGTCTTTCTCTGTGATTGTTTTGATCCGTGCGGGTGCTCTCTCCAGAGCTCAAAAGGGTCGGATCTTAGCCGGGCGAACCCGTTTTTAAAAACGGGTCCCTAGATCGCACCGACCCGCAAATCCTTGATGAATATATACATAAATATTTTCGAAGATACTCAAAATGACAGGATCACCGGTTCCGGTCCGGTTCCGGGCGGTCCCGGGTGATCGGGGCAGTTCCCGATTTTTTTGCACAACCCCTAGACAGGATAACAAGGGTAAGGAAAATTTCAAATAAATGCATAAATTGAGATTATTTTTTTAATAGAGGATTGAGAGTAAATTTTATTTAGAATAATTGCATAAAGTGAGAAACTCAGTTTTAAATAAGGGCCGGACTTCGTCAGCCGACCGGCGAGCATATGCGAGTCATATGAACTTTCTAGCTATCGAAGTAGGAGCACTTCGGATAAAAAAAAATCTGGATAAAAACTAGCAAATCCCTAAAAAAAAAAAAGTCCAAATTGCTTCTTCTTTCTTTCCAGTTCGTGGAGCATTCTCTGTTCAATCAAAGATTTCGCCGAAGCATGGGTCACTTTTGATCTCCACTCACGTGCGACCGAGGGTCGGGATTCTCCGTCACCTTTCCTAAGGTTCACAGTTATTTTGGGAAAAGTATCAAAAAAAATCTTAAACCTATTACATTTGTGTCAATTTAGTCATAAACCTTTTTTTTATATAAATTTAGTCATAAACATTTTGAACTAGTGCCAATTTAGTCATTCCGAACTAATTTTGGCCGGATATTACTGACGTGGACGCCGGCCAATCTACATGACATTGTAGATGCTAACATGGACAATTTTAATAATTTTTCGATTTTTTTATTATTTTTTTCTATCTTCCTCCCTTTGCTCGTGACTGGCCACCGGCCACAAGCGATGGTTGGACGGGCTGCGGCGGCCTTGCCAGATTTGGGGAGGGAAGCCCTCGCCTGGCCGGGGCTTGCCCAGGCCACGCCAAGCCTTGCTTGGTCGAGCGACAGTGACCCTTGCCCAGGCGAGGGTAGGCCGCCCAGCCATGGCCGGTGGCCAGCCATTGCCTGTGGCCAGTCACCAGCAAAGGGAAGAAAGAAAAATATCAGAAAAAATAATAAAAAACTCAAAATATTATTAAAATATTATTAAAATTTTCACATTAGCGCCGACGGTGCCACTTAGGCCGGTTGGCAACCACATCATCAATATCAGGCTGAAATTAGCTGGAAGGATTGAATTGACACTAATTCAAAAAGTTTTGGACTAAATTGGCACTAAAAAAAGGTTTAAAACTAAATTGGCACAAATGCAATAAGTTTATGACTTTTTTGACTTTTTTCCTCGGTTCTCTTCGATCTCCACTCACTTTCAACCGAGGTCGATTTTATTGTAATGGCTGCAGCTAATCCTTCATTCGTCAAAGAGAAGGCGATTGCAGCTTGTAGAAGCAACATGTCGACAAGGTGTAGAAATCTCGTGGAGCATCACCCCAATCGCAGAGAGGACAGTGTTGGAAGGAGGAACATTTTTGCTATTTTAGTATTGCTTTGGCTTGTATGGTCGGATTTATGGGTGCGTTCTATCTCATTTTGTTCAAATCGATGCATATAAGTTGCATTTTCTAATAGTAAGAGTATCCACTGTGCATTTTTTAGATGGATTTGCTGCTGTCATGGTCCTACGATTGGGGTTCATATTTTGCAATTTTTTGATCTTTCGTTTTTCTTTCATATATTTTATCGTTATCGGTTAGAGCTCGTCGTAAAAACCGGGTTTAGGCATGTCATGGAACTGTTGAAATATTTATTAATACTAAAGCCAACTCTGGATATAACTTTGTTTCGATCTGCTAGAAAACCTTTTGGTCCCTGTATATGTTTGGCCATATACTTTATCCCCATTTGTTCTCAAAGATCACTTGTAAGTTTACTGCATTGCAATTCTTACTAAATCATCCCAAGATCCCAAAAAAGGCCAGCAAGTATACTGGCGATTATACTGTTTTAGTAGTGTACTGGAGAAAGAAAATTAATCTCAATATCTCCCATTTTGTCGAGTGTATCATACTGTATTATTTCCAGGTTTAGTTCATTGTTGATCTGGCCTTCTGTACTTGTATCAATTAGTTCAAGAAATATCATGATCACAACCATTAGGGGTAATTAGTTTTAAGGTAGGTAGGTTCCAGCTGAAGTTATCGTGTTAGAACCGGTTTCCAGTTTTGAAAATCTAGAACCTACCTTATAGGTCTTGGAAGCAACCTTTGAATTCCAAGATCTATGTGAAAACCTGTTTTTTTTTATATTTTTTTTTGTTCTTTTTTTTGGGTTTCATTTTTTATAGAAAAATAATATGAGCAATAAATTCAAAAAAAAATGAACAATAGAATTTCCTATCCACCAAAAGCAACAATTTATAAGATGAACATGTACCATTATAGATGATAAATTGTTCAAAACACATAATATAAAACATGAATTACAAAACTTCATTCCTCATTCAGTTTAGGGTTTTTTGTGATGTGAAAATTAATTTGAGGTAAATGTGGCACGAGTAAACTAATTTAGGAATCGACCCAAAAAAAAAAACTAATTTAGGACTTTCGGTGATATTAATCCTAAAAAGAAATATGCATGACTTACCCAACTCAAAATTTTCCGCATTATCAATGCACTCTTCAGTATTAATCGGCATGCAAACGACTCTCAATCAATTTTGAGTGCAAATCAAAACTTCCACCACTTTAGAGTCAAAGAATTCCAAAGCTAACAACCACATGACCCGATGTACTAAAAGCCAACTCTGAAGCAATAGTAGTTATGAGGATTATTGATAAAACATACCGAGCCATCAAAGATAGTATTTTATACTTTAATCAATACTCTGCCATTATCCAAAGATCAAGATTAAGAACATCATCACTTTCATCTTCAAGTTACCGATCAAGCTCAGATTTAATATCATCATACACTTTTTTATTCGAGTGAAAAAAAGGTTTTCCACCAAGCTTTGATGTCACACTACTATTAGTACTCATACTTTGACCACCAAAATTTCGGTTACTAGAACCAATAGAAGATTGCTCATAAAATCCATATGAATGCTCCAAGGCATTCTTCACCTTATAATGTATCTCATTAATTTTTGCTTCATCATCACAAAAATGTCCATAACATAACTTCACAAAATTCTAACTTTTTGTACAAGCAAATGCAACTGCAATCATCACCATCATATTTACTTTATCCAAACTACTATAATATCTGTCAAACTTTTCTTTCATTTTTCCTACCGATAACTTGAAGTTTAGGATTCGAAGAATTCGCCACATATTTCAAATATTCATACACAAGAGCTATCCCCTCAAAATAATCATATGAAGTAACATATGAACTCCCTGAAATCCGATTGGTGACATCATAAGACTATTTTAGAAATTTGAAAAGAATAATGACATTTTCCCAATCGTCATTTCTTGGAGATTAGTGTTAAGCTCATTTACAAAATACAAATCATCTTCTTCCATCTTTTCAAATGCTTGTTTGAGTCTCTGACAACATGAGATAAGTGTAGTTTCATCTAATGGCAACATCAAAACATATTGAACCCTTATAAGTGATTAATTCACTCTCGGTATAAGATTGTAATGTTTTAGCTCTCGTGGGAGAACTCTTCACATATCTAATTACATTTCAGATACATTTAATAAAGTCACGTACTTCAATTAATCCATCTCTTATAATCAAATTTAGTATATGAGGGGTGCACCATCTTAGATTAATAACATTTCTCTTGAAAATTTTTCCTTCATATAACCAATGGCATATTATTTGGACTATCATTATCCACAGTTATTGTTGACACCTTCTTCTTCTTCTTCTTTTTTTTTTTTCTATTCCCCACTTTTGGATTCATTTCTCCACCATTTTCCCAATCTTCCTACTCTTATGACTATGCAACACCACAAAATTGAAGATTCTTTTATGCAATTTCTGGTTTTTAGCAATAAAATTTTCAATGTGACATAAATAGTTCAAGTTTGAATCAAACTCCATATATCAATCATGAGTGCGATTCTAGACTTAAGCTTACCAAAGAAAGTCTTCAAACAAATCCTTTCACTCAAATACAACTTCATGAAATCTCTAACCATCGTAAATCATAACAAATGTTGAACAAGAGGTTGTAACTTGGTGACAAATCAGACACACTCAATAGGGGAGAAAGGTTGTTCATCAACTATGATCATCTGACTAAGCATGTGCTTACAACGATCTTGATCAAATTTCTACATCGTTAAAACACTACCACTACCACTATCAGTATCTCCCCCTACCTTGCCAACCATGTTTATATTATATGGTGCAAACAATTTTTGCATCTTATCTACATAGTGAAAATACTTATTGAACTTTCTCGAGTGCTTCCATATTGCAGACGTACCGAAATCAACAGAGTACACATACTTAGCCCCACAATGAATTCAATTTACCTTATATGTTTTTGTTGTCTCCTCATCTATGATTCTCGAAAAATGATTAGAAACTACAATCGAGTGATAAATGTTATATCGTGTTAGTAATTGTATAAAATCAATAACATGTTGGATTTTTAAAGGTTAAACTATCTTTGACCCTTCGTACTCTAGATGAACACGGGTGTCTTTCATGATTTGAAATCATGTTGGATTTCCTTTTTATCTTGAAAAAAGTCAATTGATTCCTCCAAAAGCACAACAAAATCCTCAATGACTTTAAATGAAAATATTCAATATTTTTTAAGACTCTTGAGATGTTAAATTATCAAATAAGAACTTGAGATCAGGTGCTACACTTTTTTAGAAAGAAGCAAGTTAGAAGTCTCAATCCTCTTAGACAAACACGAAAACAAAATAAGAAAAAACCACGGCCCCTTGACAAGGGGGGAAAAAGACAATTTAATAATATTAAAAACCCACAAACTTTAGGTCAAGTTCCAATTATACTTTAATTTTTTTTGTCTCATAAAAAATCATTAAATTTTACTTAAGTCCAAAATCTGCCCCCGTTGAATTTCTCTTAAAAATTGAAAGATTAAAAACTCCAGAGCACAAGTTGTTCAAGCATCCCGAGCCAAGTGTCTCGAGCGAGCTCTTCGACCACAAGAGATGGAAGACTCCCGAGCACGAAAGATTGAAGATTGATCACAAAATCGAAGCTCCCCGAGTGAGATGGAAGAAAGAATCCGGAGGAAAACCAATCCTAGGTTTTACCAAATTTCATATCCAATAAGATGTAGCTTGGGCCGACATGAAAATTTATCTCCAAAAGACTTCTTCTTTGATATGAAATTTAGGAAAAAACTTGAGCAATAGCATGGAAAATGACACATCACTAATGTCGATTTTGGACGGAGTGTTAACATTGGCAAATATAGGACTCAAGTAAAAGTATGTGGTTTTATTATGAGACAAAAAAAGTTATGGATAAAATTGGGACTAAACTTAAAATTTGTAATTTTTTTAAACAAAAAAAGTTTATGGTAGAATTGGGATTGGATCAAAAGTTCGAAATCTTTTATGAGACAAAATAAATTTTAGAATAAAATTGAGACTATAATTAAAATTAGGGTTTATATTAAAAAAAAGGGAAAATTTCAATTAAGGACCTCAAGTGAGGCATTTTTCTCAAAAGAGGACCCCAAGTGGACTTAGTGTCAAATAAGGGCATGAAGTGCCCAATCAGTCTCAAATAACGACCCGAAGTGCCCAAAAAGTCTCAAATAAGGGCCTAGGTCGCTGGCCGGCCAAAATGCCTGCCGGCCGGCAAGAATGTTACTATTCTGGCACCGGAACAGTAACTTTTTTATTTTTTTTTATTTTTTTTTTCCTTTTCTGTTTTTTTTCTTTTCCTTTTCTTTTTTTTTCTTCTCTTCCTCCGCCGGCCATAGTCGGGGCCGGCGGGGGTCGCCGGCCTTAGGCGAGGCCGCCCTTGCCTGGGCTGGGCGAGGGCTCGACCTCGCCGTTGCTGGGCGAGGTCGAGCCTCACCGGGCCTGCCTGGCGAGGTCGAGCCCGGCCGATCCGGCGAGGGCTCGCCCCGCCGCCGGGCGAGGCTCGACCTCGCCGGCGCCCGGGCGAGGCCGGGTCTCGCCCGCAACGGCAAGGCCGACTCGCCGCCGGCCGACCTCGCGCGCCGGCCGACCTCGCCCGACGCCGGCGAGGTCGAGCCGCCGCGGCGTCGAGCCCTCGCCAGCCGGCGCTCGATCTCACCGTTGCTGGGCGAGGTCGAGCCTCGCTAGTTGCCGGCGAGGTCGAGCCTCGCCAGATCTGGCGAGGGCTCGGCCCCGCCGGCAACTGGCGAGGGTGGCCCTCGCCCGACGCCGGCGAGGGCGGCCTCGCCTGAGGCCGACGACCTCCGCTAGCCCCGGCTATGGCCGGCGGAGGAAGAGAAGAAAAAAAAAAGGAAAAGAAAAAAAACAGCAAAGGAAAAAAAATTAAAAGTTACTGTTTCGGTGCCGGAATAGTAACATTCTCGCCGGCCAGCAGGCATTTTGGCCGGCCGGCGACCCAGGCCCTTATTTGAGATTTTTTGGGCACTTCGGGTCCTTATTTGATACTAAGTCTATTTGGAATCCTCTTTTGAAAAAAAGACCCCACTTAAGGTCCTTAATTGAAATTTTCCCTAAAAAAAATTAGCCGGAAAAAGATAAATCAAGTACGCATATTTGGTGTCCTTTTCGAAACCATTTGGAGTGATCCATTGTCCTTTGTTTTATCTGATGTGGAAGTGCACTAACTACTACTTCTCCTGCCAGTAGTAGTAGGGATGATGTTGGAATTGACATTGGATTTCCTTGACGTGTCAAATCTTGGTTTGCATGGGCCTCTAACCTCTAACTAATCCCCCCACATTCCCACCCCACGCCGATGTGGGCCTTCTCTCTCTCTCTCTCTCTCTCCCCCCCCCCCACTGTCATACGCTCTTCCGTTCTAAAAACCAACCCCGACCACTAAAACCCAACATTGTGTGTCCAATAAATAACATTATCTAATGCCCATTAACGGTTGGTCACATCGTTTTACATATTAATTACATTAATCCCGTCTTATCACCGCGGGTTGATCGAGTGGCTCGAGACTTGATCCGAAAGCTGACGCCATGTGTTCGATTATCCTGTGTGTATAATTGGTCTCGGAAAACCTTGATTCAAATCTACGAAGGACGAGTCCAAGCTGTGTTTCGCCGGTCTTGAGCTCCCCACTTGCATCGTGACGAGGCAAGGGTGATGGGCTCGCCTAGTGGGCGGTGATGTGCGGGCTAAATCCGCAGCCTTCTGAACATTCTTATTGGGGTGATCTATAGTTTGCCGACACAGAATACCCTTTTGACTAGTGAGAAGAAAATAACCTCATCTTGATATCTCATCATTATTCCCAATAAAGAAAAGGGGCTCCTATTGCTTATGGTGAGACTATTAGCGATTCTTTCTTTGCCTCCCTCTTTCTTGGTTCCAGAATCAGGTGCTTTGCCTTTCATCTTTCGTACTCTTTTCTCACAACCCAATATGGAACAGGCAAAGATGCTTCTCTTTCCATCAAGAATCGGAGTTAGTTTGATCCTTCCTTTTGAAACTCATTATCGGTCTAATCCATGGATCTTCGCTTTAATTTTCCTCACATTATGTCCAGTCCATCAATAATTGGATGGAGAATAATGCGAGGATAGAGGAAGCTGCCTGATCAAATTTACACTAAAAAGGTCAGGACACCTTTTTGACCATTGAGACGAAGCACTATCAACTCACCAATCTTGCCGTCCTTTCTATAATTAATTAAGTTGATTAGATGATGAAGCCACTCATCCACTCTCTCGTGGATCTCTTATATTATGTGGGTCACTATCATGCATTCCTTTTAGTTAATCACCAGATCATAGTGCTCTCTTTATTTGCCAATGCACTTGCAACTGGAAAACAAAGCGGTCTTCGGAATCTGGTGGCTCTCGATCTAATGTTGATCTGATCCTACAAAATGGTGTCGCATATTCAAATTATACAGAATATTATTATTAAGATGATTCGACGATCAGAATTTTCCATGTATCGTCTAACCTACCACCAAAAGAAGGGGTGATACATCAAATTCATGAGAAGGAACCTCGTCAAAATTTGCATGCGCAATCGATAATTTCATCGAAAACATTATTCCTCGGATTAAGAAGGTCGGGAAACTCTTCAAAGGCCGTTTCTTGAGCAAAGCAAAGCGAGCCTCCGGCGGTATGTGTTACCTCAAGACCCTATGCAGCGCAGCATAAGCGATGAGTCGGTAACCGATCAACATGGACGCCATGATGAACACGTCCAACCACAAATTGTTGAGCCCCACGGCTTTGACTGCTGGAAAATCTCCGACCCGGCAAAGCTCCCCTTTCGTGCACTCGTAGACATCGTCATTGCTGTACTGAACCCCCAGAAGGAGCTTGTAACAGTAGTAGCTGTAGCTCAAGTACTTGAGCCACTCTATGAATGGGGGTATCTGCTGAATGTAGTATCCGCCAGCGATCAAGAACACGAGAGTCGTGACCGAGGCCAACGTTGTGGCCTGCTTTACATCCATGAGGATTGCGCCGAAGGCCAATCCGAGGGACTGCGACACCAGGACGCTGTAGAGGACGATGAGCAAGGAGAGGATAAAAGTGGCTGGGTCAGGCTTGAGCCCGCCCATCCAGTAGATGATGAAGACGAATGCGGTTGGGAGGGCGAGCTCAAGAGGCAGGTCGCCAACTGTCCGGGCAAGGAAGTAGGACGAGAGCCGGTACATTCCTGACGACCTTTCTTTCATGAGCATTCTTCTTTCTTGAGGGAATGTGAAGACTGCATTGTAGAGTGGATAGAAGCCCCAGAACACAGAGAAGAAGAAGAGCAAGGCAATCTGCAATCATGAAAGTAAAACTATTTCAGCAACTATCTCGGATTGCAATTGCTTTTCTTTTCTTAGTTTTAGCTCAAACTGAAAAATCATCAAACCAAAGAATGCGAATTTACTTTTATAATGATATATGTAACTATATTTATCGATCATATAAAAATTATGTTTTATATGTACTGCAGTGGACAATTGCAGATGCGAAAAACTGAATTAGTTTGCTTTGTTCTGTTTGGTTTGGAAATGTTACTTGACTCAATTTAGTCAGGGAGAAATCAAAGTGCATTTTTCAATTCAGTTCCTTGTCCTCCAGTTGAATCAAGCTGATCTGAGTTTTTCTTAGTCCTCCAGGCATTATTTTTATCATCTAGCGTGACGAACTCTGTGGTGGTACGTTAGTCGGAAAGTGCTTTTGAAAAGGACATAAGAGCTAGGACTGAGCGTTGAACTGAAGCAGAATGTCCAAGGCTTAGCAGTCAGCATAAAAGGTCACTGGATTTCACACTTTCCTTCGGTGATATCCCGAATTTAAAGATGAGCAAGGTCATGTTGTTGTCATGAATTACTGGGATAGACTCAATGTTGGGGAAAAAGAAAAATTCTTACGCGGTCCGCGATATGAGATGCCGGGGTATGCCACCAGAGAAGTCCACCGAGCACCGCAACGCTTATCACTTGGAAGATTCTCAGCCTGTTGAAGGATTCAAATCTCCTCTCTCTCAGCCCCCTCTGAAGCAGCACTTTGAACTGATGCCACCAGCTGTTGCACCATTGCTCTGTCTTCTTCTCATGTCCTACAAGATTTCATCATCTTAGGGGATCGAAGAGAGACACGGTAGAGAAAAAAGTGCAATTTGATCAAATGGGTGTCGCTTTCTATTGAACTTTGTCTGATAACTACAAGGCATCGACATGTTGTGCTGTGCAAATGAATGTGAAAATTTAGGACCTAGGATATGCGAAGAGTGGAGTTCAATTCAACTCACCTTTTGTGAAATTGTTGTAATTAATGACATCCACAGAACACAGCTCTGACTTTAACCTCGCGGATATATTCTTGTCATAAGCAGAAATGAGAGATTCCCTCACCGATTTCTTCTCTTTCTCCATGTTGTCGCCGTGCTCAGTCGCGTGCTTGGAGTCGGGAGCAATTCCTGCAAATTTTCCAACAACCGTTCAATTTCAAAACTGAAAAAAGAAAAAAAAATGAAAAACAAAGAAATCTTGATCCGTTTCTTTGATATTTTCAAGATGAAAAGGCCTGAGCAATATGTTAGTCTCTATAAAGATTCAATTGACACACATAATCATGGTGTGCAAAAGCTACTTAAGTGTACTTGTGCATGCGGTGTATGTGCATATGTACGAGCGGTTATGGACGCACGTGATCATGATTAACACTATAATCATGGATTAAGGTCGCATTTCATGGTTTGACCCTTTCATCCTGGTGGAAGGTTGAGGGGCAATTTATGACTGCTTTTATTCAATTTGGAGCTTAAAGAATGAAAACTTTTGCAGATGGCACAAAGGAAAGTTTTGAAAGGTAGGGTCACATTTCACCCCATTTGCACAAAGTGACACTTTTGAGCACCAAGCTGCATCATCTCTGTCAAATTTTTGCTACGAATATGAAGAGAGATTGAAAATAATCATATAAATACCAACTCATGAACATAAAGTAAAATGACTTAGTTTAGTTCTGATCAATGTCTAATTCTTGTCTCAAGGGTAGAAAGAAAATAAAAATCACCATAGCTATGTAGATGTTCATGTAATTACCGTTGGCAAGATCAAGCAAAAGATCAGCTGGATTCACAGTCATGGATGTGGTGAACCCAATGGATGAGAAGTAGTCCAACGCTGCAGATGCTGATCCATAGTAAATGGGACTTCCTTCAGAGAGCAGCACTACCTTGTCGAACATGTGGTAGAGTCGGCTCGATGGCTGGTGGATGGTGGTGACCACCGTCCTGCCGCCGCCAGCCAGCCGCTTCACAGTGGTCAGGATCCTCTGTGCCGTGGTCGAGTCCAACCCCGATGTCGGTTCGTCCAGCAGCAGCAGACTGGGATTGATCAGCATCTCTTGGCCTATGCTCACCCTCTTCTTCTCGCCGCCGGATATCCCCCGGAACAGCGGCCCGCCTATCATGCTGTGCCGGCACCGGGTCAGTCCAAGCTCAGTGATGACGCTCTCAACGTGGCGGAGCTTCTCGGCCAGCGCCAGGGTATTTGGGAGCCGTAGGAGGGCGGTGAACAGGAGTGTCTCGGTCACGGTGAGGTGAGGGTAGAGGACGTCGTCCTGTGCCACAAACCCCGTCCTCCGTTTCACAGCCCCGGAGAAAGGCTGGCCGTTGTACGTGATCTTGCCAGACAGCTTGCCGCCAAGGCGGCCACCAAGGGCCGTAAGGAGGGTGGTCTTGCCACTGCCGGAGGGCCCCAGCATCGCGAGTATCTCCCCGGGGCAGACCACACCGCTCACACCATTGAGGATGGTCTTCTCTCTGGGGCCGCTGCTCCATGTGCCACCCCAGCAGGATTGCTTTTGGTCCAATTTCACCTTGTAAACCACCTCCTCAAACTGCAATTATGTTTTTTTTTTAATTTTCCAAAACAAGGATCATAAGGAGGATGTATCGTACGTTCAAAAAATCATGTAGTTGACTATAAAAGGAAAGCAAAATTGATGTTAGTTTAATCGGAACTTAAAATAGTGAGACTATGTTCATCAACAGCCTGACTAGGCGGCGTTGCTGACGGCCGGCAGAATAAAAACTCTCCAAATAAAAAAAAGTAGCAGTTGAGAAGAGAGAGAGAGAGACCTTTAAAGTTATGGAATACAAGGTGACTTGTACAAGGGACTGAGGACCGGCTTGAACTGGGTAAGCGAGGACCGCTTCGTTGCCGTTGCAAGGCGGCCGAGACATGTCCATCTGAACTTGTGTTGCCGCCGTGGCCGCCACCTCTGCCGCGGTGGTGTCGCAATATGCTGGCTCTGGCGCCGTGGAAGGGAGGGGCATTAGCAAAAGGGAGAAGTGGTGGGATTCTAGTTGAGATCTTGGTAATGATAACGAGTTGGGGGTGATGCGTGCCTCTGTTGTGGGGAAGTGAAGGGAGAGAGAAGTTAAGGAGTTACTTTTTGTGGGTTGGTGTTTGAGCAAGTGTGTGTGTGTGTGTTTTGGGTGTGGTTTGTGTTGTGTCACTTCCCCAAAGTGAATTGGAGGGCATGATGCAGATATATAGGTAGTGAGGGAGACGAGGATTTCTCCTGCGTGGGGTGTGTGGTGAAGGCCAATCTTTGGTGGGTTCCCACAATATTGTATTGGGTGTGCCTTTATAATTATTCTTCTTCCACACACTAAGTATTTACTATAGCTTATACTCTTTATCTCTTCATGAAAAAGTAATTTATACTCACCTTATCTTGATCTTAACAACTTTTCCATTTTGGTGTTACAACTCTCTCTCTCTCTCTGTTGCAACTGCCAGGAGTCCAATGACTCGACGGTTTATATTCCATGTCCACATCATTTTTTTGGGGGTGTGGGGGAGGTGGACTATATTCTAACTTGAGTTGCCATATTGAACTGGAGTTCAAATCCTCCAAAGATTGACCAATGACTTTTTGGATGGACAGGACACTCATATATATGATGGTGCTATAGATTGTGCAAGCATGTGAAATAAGTTGCTCAATGATTTCTTTTGAATGTTAATCCTATAAGGATTAGTTGAGTAATTAAATACATGGTTTGGATTAAACAGATTTTGTGTTCAAATCGCAATATTACTCACTCATATTAATCTTTGGAGCCACAACTGTCACTCTATCGATAGAACCTTACCCAATGTACTTGGACATGGTGGTTTGTGTTATTTGCGTGGATTAGTCGGGCTGTAAAGTTTGGATATTCCATTATATCAAAATATAAAAATAAAAACAGGTTGAGATTTTCGAAATTGTGAGCGTGGAATTTACATCTTAAATTTATTGCCGTGAGAGGATTTCCATTGAAAGTATACTTGCTTGTTATAGTCTATTTTCCTTTTCCATTTCTCATTTCGTTGTTTCCTTCCCCTTCTGCATCTTCATGTGTAGTTGCTGCCAAGAATTGCTTCCGATAATCACCCGCTAGATGTTGCGTCATGGTCATGTGTCATGAATCGACAGATCCTTGGACGAGGAATAGTTCGTGTAGCGCTTGTTGGGATTTTGGCATCCAAATCCCATAGAATTGAATGAAAAGTGTGTGGATGAAAGTGTCCTACATTGAATAGAAGAGGAATGAGAGATGGTTTCAAATAGTTGAGCCTCACAAATGGGTTTGGGCCCCAAGGAGTACCCCACTTTTGTGGAAGGGAGAGGACCTACGCCAAGCTAGGTCGGTTTCCCCCGCGCGCGCGCCGCCGTCGTCCGTCCGGCCGGTTCGGTACCGGGTCCATTCTCTATCGGTTTTTATTTTTTCCGAACAGACACGTTGTTAGAAATTAATTAATTATTTATTTTTTGGACAAACAAACATGTCTGTTCGTGAGGTTCGGTTCGCCCGAACGAAAACCGAAGCCCTTCGCTACTGTTCACAAAAAGCGAGTCTTCATTACTCGCAACTCTTCATTTTCACCACTTGAATATGACCGAACGGTTTAGTTCGGAACAATGTGACACTTCGTAGCATTCATATTCCCGCGAGACATTTTCCCGACGCATTCTAGACATTTTTCACTTCATCATTTCGTGCAATTATTCTTCGAAATTGCATTCGAAGGGGTCCTCCGAATACGTACCGCTTCGGAGGAACAAGATCCGTTCTATCCTGGGAGACGATTGTCCAATATCCTCGGGTACTGATTGAGGGGCCAAATTCGTCTTAAGGACACAACATTATTTCGTTGGGCTCGGATCAACATTCTGCTTATTTATTTGTACTACTTTCAGGTTAGTTTTCTTGGCGTTTGATTTCAATTTCTAGTATACGAACTTACCCGACAACAATCTTAAGACGAATTTTGCTTCGGTTCTGTTCGTATATTGATTTGCATGGTCTGTGTATTCTTATGCGTTGTTCATTGAGTTTTTCTGTCAAATATCTACATTGGCGTTCCTTTAAGTCGAACCTTTGTTGTTCGTATGCTTCTGAGTTAATATAAGTATTCTGTATAGTTCGTATGTTCCTTGTCGTAGTCGTATAGGAATACGATTCTGTTCATACATTCGGTTCATACATTCTGTTCGCGAACAAGTTTTTCGTTTCTTTTCATATTAAAAATTTTCAATTCTGTTCTTGAACAAACGATTCTGTTCGTAGTCATATATTTCTGATTATGTTCGTGAATATGTTCTGTTTTGGAATTTCAGAAATGGCTTTGACTTCGACTCCGGCTAACCCTATTCCGAAACACGGAGAAAAGCCAGAAAAGTTCAATGGTACGGATTTCAAGAGATGGCAACAAAAGATGTTGTTCTATCTCACGACCTTGAACTTGGCTAGATTCCTCAATGAGGATGGTCCTAAATTGGATGTTGGAGAGACAAATAAAGAAAAGGTTGCTGCTGTGGATGCATGGAAGCATTCTGACTTCCTGTGTCGCAACTATGTCCTCAACGGTCTGGACAATACTCTCTATAACGTCTATATTCCGCTAAAAACGGCTAAGGAGTTATGGGATAGTCTGGACAAGAAATACAAAACCGAAGATGCCGGATTGAAGAAATTCATTGTCGGTAAATTTCTGGACTTCAAGATGGTTGATTCAAAGACCGTCTTAAGTCAGGTTCAAGAGCTTCAAGTGATTATGCATGATATTCATGCTGAAGGAATGACTCTAAGTGAGACATTTCAAGTGGCTGCATTCATTGAAAAACTGCCACCATCCTGGAGAGATTTCAAAAATTATCTCAAACACAAGAGAAAGGAGTTGTCACTTGAAGACTTGATTGTTCGGTTGACGATTGAGGAAGACAATAGGCTCTCTGAGAAGAAAGTTGGGAAGAACTTAGAGGTTTCAAAGGCCAATGTTGTTAAAGAAGGATCGAAACCCAACAAGAAGAGGAAAATGCCTAGCAAGTCTAGAGAGGGATTCACCCAAGGCCTGAAGAAGTTCGTTGGCAAGTGCTTCAACTGTGGCAAGTCTAGACATCGAGCCAAAGACTACAGAGCCATGAAAAGACAGAAAACTCAGGCTAATGTGATGGAAGAGATTTCCAGTGGTATTGATGATATCAATCTGACTGTCATGATATCCGAGTATAATATGGTGGGAAACCCCAAGGAGTGGTGGATTGATACTGGAGCAACTCGTCATATCTGTGCAAATAGATCGATGTTCTCGTCCTACACAACTGTGGGGGGTGATGAAAAATTTTATACGGGTAATTCATCAACCTCTAAGATTGAAGGTGTCGGAAAAATTGCTCTAAAGATGACATCTGGAAAGATTGTGACACTAAATAATGTTCTGCATGTGCCAGATGTTCGCAAGAATTTAGTGTCTGGATCTCTCCTTAGCAAGAATGGCTTCAAGTTGGTTTTTGTATCTGATAAGTTTGTACTATCCAAAAATGAGATGTATGTTGGAAAGGGTTATCTGAGTGATGGTTTGTTCAAGCTGAATGTAATGACTGTTGTAACCAAGGATGATTTTAATAAAGTTGCTTCTTCTTATGTGCTTGAGTCTTCTAATATTTGGCATGCTAGACTAGGACACGTTAACTATAAGTCGATAAAGAAATTAATGAATATGGGACTGTTGCCGAAATTTGTCTATCCAAGTAAGAAATGCCAAGTGTGTGTTGAATCTAAATTTTCTAAGCCTCATTTCCATTCTGTAGATAATAGAGTCTCAGAACCTTTAGATTTAATACACACAGATATATGCGATATGAAATCAATATCGTCAAGAGGTGGTAATAAATATTTTATCACATTTATAGATGACTGCTCGAGGTATTATTATGTTTATTTGCTTAGTAGCAAAAATGAGGCTGCGAATGCTTTTAGAACTTATAAGTCCGAAGTTGAAACTCTGTTGAATAAGAAAATTAAAATAATAAGGAGTGACAAAGGAGGTGAATATGAATTTCCTTTTGAGGAAATTTGTACTGAGTTTGGGATCGTTCATCAAATGACTGCTCCTTATACACCACAATCAAATGGTGTGGCGGAAAGGAAAAATCGATCCCTAAAGGAAATAATGAATGCATTGTTGAACAGTTTTGGTTTACAGAAGAATTTGTGGGGGGAAGCTGTCTTAACAGCAAATTTTATTTTAAATAGAGTACCCCACAAAAAGACACAACAAACTCCCTATGAGAAATGGAAAGGCAGAATGCCTAACTTGAATTATCTCAAAGTGTGGGGGTGTTTGGCTAAGGTTGCGGTTCCTAAGCCTAAAAAGGTTAAGATAGGACCAAAGACTGTTGACTGTGTTTTTATCGGATATGCTCAGAATATCAATGCATATCGTTTTCTTGTTCACAAGTCAGAGATCCCAGATATACATGTTAATACGGTCATTGAATCAAAGGAAGGTTAAGATAGGACCAAAGACTGTTGACTGTGTTTCTATCGGATATGCTCAGAATATATTGGCATATCGTTTTCTTGTTCACAAGTCAGAGATCCCAGATATACATGTTAATACGGTCATTAAATCAAAGGACGCTTCGTTCTTTGAAAATATATTTCCGTATAACATAGTATATGAGCCAATTGATAATAATAAGAGACCTCGAGCTACTACATCTAGAAGTGATCCAATGGAGGATAAACCTAGACGTAGTAAAAGACAAAGGACTTCCACGTCTTTTGGACCTGATTTCTTAATGTATTTGTTAGAGAATGAGCCTCGGACATTCAAAGAAGCTGTGACATTGTCAGAAGCCCCGTTCTGGAAAGAAGCTATCAATAGTGAAGTTGAATCCATCCTGTCAAATCATACATGGAAATTGGTTGACATTCCTCCTGGTAATAAACCACTATAATGTAAGTGGATTTTCAAGAGGAAAATGAAAGCGGATGGTACTATTGATAAATATAAGGCTAGGCTTGTAGTAAAAGGATACAAGCAACGAGAAGGTCTTGATTATTTTGATACTTATTCACCTGTTACTAGAATTACATCTATAAGGATGCTAATTGCCATAGCAGCGATGTATAAGCTTGAAATCCATCAAATGGATGTTAAAACGGCCTTCTTAAACGGGGATTTGGAAGAATAAATATATTTGGAACA